ATATTCTAAGTCCATCCAGAGCAAGAGTGCACTGGAAATCTCACCACAGGCTGCTCCTGGAAAGAGTCCTCACTCGGTTGTGGAAAACTGAAAGGATTTTCATGAATAGTCAGACAGCTGGTGAAGGCTTGTGAGTGGAAATAGAAATATTTGAACTTCCCCGTTGAGATTTCTGGTGGAAAGTGGCCTATGTTTTATGGCCTCTGCTTTTATGAAGTGAATATCATCTCCATGGCTCAGATTTGTCCTAATCTATCTTCGAGTGGGACAAAGCCAGGTAGGAAATTGCTCTTTCTCCCAGGATGAAATGCTGGGGATCAGCATTTCCTGGAGAGCAAAAGGGGCCACTTGGCCATCCAAAATTGGGTGTGGGAAGTCAGGAGTGAGCAGGGCCAGGTGATGCAGGTTCTGCCACTCCAAAAAACAAAAATGTGCTGCTGATGTGCACATTTGGTGCCAATTTGAAACCAGTTTGGGAGAGAATATTTTAAAAGGAACTGGATGGAGATGTTTTGTGAAGTTGCCTCAGGAATGGAGATGCCTTTATTAAACATGGAAATTTTCCAGCTGTTTCCCAGTAACATTTTACTCTTTTACCCAGGTGAGTCCTTTCACACAGCTCTGTGAGCCTGTCTTGGTTTTCCCTTGAAGAAAACTTGTCTGATAAAATGGTTGTTCACCAAAATTACCTTATTTTTTTTTCAGTTTGTTTGCCAGACAAACAGAAATGTCAGTCCTTAGATCTTCTGTGGGAAGTGTTGACCCACTCTCCTAGCAAGGAGAGCCCCAAAATTCAATGGTTCTTCTGCTCAACCTTTCCACAGGAAATTAAGGGCTGAAACCCTCTCCACTCTCCCAGTTCTCCCGCCTACTATGCCACCACAAAGTTGAGAAATTTGAGATTATCCCCCCCTGGATGCGCCCTCAGAACATGAATGTATCTGCTTTAAAAAGAGGAAGCAATGATGGAATCCTGAGTGGGAAACACAAGAAATGAACAGTTCCTTGTGCAATGCAGCACGGCCACTTCTTGAGCCCCAGCCTTGCCTCCTGCCAGACAGGACAGACAAGTTCTCTTTTACAACTGAAGATGAAAAATGAAGGATCAAATCAAGGCCTTATCCTGGTTTGAAAGCAGACAGAAATGGGAGGTGGTATTTGTGTGTTGGGCTCGTTGGTATTTATCACGTAGTGGTTTAATTGCACAATGAATTACTGGAAAGGGATGTTCTGTTACCAAACTTGCTCACCAAAAGCTTGGGGTGAGAATATTGGGCAAGAAAGGTGACTAATAACAGAAAAAGGGGCAGAGCATCAGTCTCCAGAATTTCAGTCACGCCAGGGAGCACTGGGCTGAGGGAGCAGCATCCTGGTGAAAGGTTTATGCTATCTTAAAAAATCAAAACCCCCTCTAAAACATATCCCATAAACTCAAACCCATCTAAGAGAAAATACTTTAAGATAAAAAGATGCCATACTATTCATTCAAGCCTCTCATTAGAGCATCTTTGTTAAATATGCTAATTTGCAAGGTCTACAAAATTATATATGCAATCTACCTATGTGCATTTCAGTGTATTCCACTGTAACAAATTGCTGCACCATAAAAATCCTTATCAAGTACTGAGCTAAAAGCCCTTTATCCCTTAACTGTGTCTAGATCTTAAATTTCAAACTGAGGTGAGGGAGCAGCGCTGGTGAACAGCAGAAACTTCCTCAGTGTGAAGTGTTTTCCACCTGACCTTTCCAGGAGCTGTTCAGAGCCTCTGCTGGCAGAGGGCTGGCTCAGATTTCAACCTTTTTGTCCAGGAACGGTCCTTTGCTAAAGTTTTTGTTCTTTTTTGCTCTTTAGGAGAAGCTCCCCGAGCTAATGACCCATCCATCAGTCCCTGCAGACACAGGCACAGAAATCCTGGCGAGGACTTGGCTGCTCATTCCAACACTTCTAGCAGAGTTGTTGCTACATTGCTGGAGCCCATCTAAAATATGGATTGCCTGGGCATCACCTGAACTTAGCGAGTTTGCAGCTGGTTAACTCTGATTGATCAGCTGACGTTTGCTCAGCGCTGCCAAACCATCCATCAGCAAGAGCTGTAATAATCCAGGTTTTGTCAGTAATGGATCAACTGCCCAAAATCTGCCGGGCTTGGCTGATTTGGCAGCGCCCATCTCCTTATCTCACTGCACCCACACCTTATGTGGGAAGGGAAGGGAAGGGAAGGGAAGGGAAGGGAAGAGAAGAGAAGAGAAGAGAAGAGAAGAGAAGAGAAGAGAAGAGAAGAGAAGAGAAGAGAAGAGAAGAGAAGAGAAGAGAAGAGAAGAGAAGAGAAGAGAGAAGATCCAAAAGTGCTGTGACATGCATTAGTGAAATCTTTGCAGATCAGGAAAGTTAATTTTCCTCCTTTCCTTCTTTCAGTGACTAACTTCTGTTACTGTAACAAGGAGTAAAAAAGTTTATCTCCACCAAAACTTAAATATTCACTTCCTCTTCTCCACCCACTACATTCACTTTAAAAAGCACTCCCTCTCCATTCCAGCTCCAGCAAGAAAGCTCACAACAATATTACAGAAAACACTCTAAAAGAAGTTTCTTCTATTAATTAAATGTTTATAATCACACTCTGTATCACCATCCCTAGAGAATGAGTCAGGGCTCCCAGGAGAACACAATCCCAGAAAAAAAGGAAAATGATGTAACACCAGGACTGTGCAAAGGTTTTTATCCAGACAGAGCAGCCTGCATCCCCTCTGGATTCCAGCCCTCCCAGCCTGGATTTTCAGCCCTCCCAGCCCGGATCCCCTCTGGGTTTCCAGGCTTGTGGTGGCCACAGCCTGGAGAAGAGCTCTGATCACAGCACAGGCACAAGGATGTGAGGAAGTTTGACAGCAAGGAAGATGCAGAAGCCAGAACTGTGCCAGCAAAGCCCTGGCCAAGGCGTGCCAAGCCTTCCAGTGCATTATCTCTGCCACCTTTCGGCTTTCTCTGCTCAGGTGAGCTGCTCTGGACAGGTAACTGCACCTTGCTGCAGGAGTGGAAACCCCAAAGTCAGCAAGGAGAGGAAATCCTGCCCCCACTCTGCCTCTGGTGTGACCTACCCGGATCCTCAGCCTGCTCAGAAAGGTATCTCAGTTTTCAGGACAGCTTAAAATGTTTGCTCAGGGTGTAGAAATATAGGAATAGAGGGATTTCTAAGGGGGATGAGCAGGATTGTTATTATTATATTTTTTGAAAAAAAAAGTTTAAAATTCTCCTAGGAAGATGAGAAGCCTCAGGGAAAAATAAAAACAATAATTATTTGATTTGTTTCTTTTGTGCTTTGATGTTTTAAAATGTGGTTTAGATATAGTTTAACCAACAAGTGCATGTTTCATTAGTGTCCTGTGAATTGTTTGTACTTAATAAGCAATCACCGTCCAGCTGTGTCAGAGCTCTAGCAATAATCATTAGTTTTTAATTATCTTTTAGCCTTCTGTCTGTATCCTTTCAATATAATATAATATATATTATATTATATTATATTTCAATATAATATAATATAATATAATATAATATAATATAATATAATATAATATAATTAATATAATATAATTAATATAATATAATATAATATAATCCTTCTAAAAACATAGTAAAATTCATTATTTCCTCACCTTCGTCAGGGTCTCAGAAAATACCACAAAGGATTCTTGTTTTCTCACCTTTTTTTTGTGGATTTTCATGGCTTAGGAGGGGGAAAAGCCTCTCAGGAGGCTCCTTGCACAGACACATTTGTGCACAGGAATGGGGTCACACAGGTGCTCACCCACGGACACTCAGACCCAACAAATTGTGAATATTCCTGTTGGTTCCTCGGCCCACACGAACCCTGAGCAGGCTCCCCAGGCAGAGCGATCCCTCTGAGTCGTTCCCAGCAGCCTTTCTGACACCCTGCCAGCCTCAGTTTCCCCGGGATGAGCTGAGGGTGCCTGTGCTGCTCTGCCCGCCTGGCTCAGGAGCCCCAGGGCAGCTCTGAGAGGGTGCTGAGCTCCTCCAGGATTAAAAAAGAAGCACAGAAGGGCACGGAGGAGCTGCCAGAGTGGGGCAGCCCCAGGGTCTGGGTGGTCCCAGAGCCCATCCCCACCTGGGGCCACGCCAGGTGCTCCGGGAGGAGGTGACAGAGCCCTGCAGCTGGCAGCTCTGGAAGGATTTCCCTCCTCTCCTGTTGGATTATGGCTTTTTCTGACCCAGGGACGGGGTAACTGAGGGGTGTTTTAAAAACTTTTATTCCATTTTCAGTCTCATGAGAAGGGTGAGACAATACAGTGTTGTAATTCACACCATCACAATCAGAAGCCAATTATTTCCTAATTACAATACACTATAAACGTTTCTTAGCCTATTAGCTTTAGCCACACCATACTGCAAATGCCTTAGAGCCAATTATCTAAAATGATGGATGCAGGTCCTACTACAATTTAGTTCTATTTCTCCAGAGTATCCAGTCTGATTTGTAAGGCCATCCTTTGAAACTTGTTTCTAGCTCCATTTCTCTCTCACCAGCGTTTCTCCTATCCCATGGTATTTCTCAGTCAGCATTTCTTATCTCAAAGTTTACATACAGATGCACACGATGTGAACCTTCTACAGAGCTTTAAAAAATTCCTACAAATCCATTTCCCACGTTCTCTGACAAGTTCTCACCCTGATCTGCGGTAATTAGAGCCTGGCTCAGCCCTGCAATTACACCGCTTAGCACCCTCCCTAAACATGGGCTCGAACAAGCTCTGCCTCCCTTTAATATTCAAATTAACACGAATTCCAGCCACTCAAACCGTGTTTCCAAACAACAACTACCGAGCTGCCAGGTTACACTCAAAACACCCCTCCAGCTGAACCATAAGCAGGTTATTCCCATGCGGGGTGTTTAGTCAGTTTAGAGCTCTCTAAGGCAACAGAATTTCTGTTCACGTGTACAAACACAGGGAAAAGAGTAATTAAGGAGGTGAGAAATGGGCTTTACCTTAATGTCCTGCTGAGATTTCAAAGAATCTCTGCTTCACTCCCTCCTTTCCTTTGCTCTGTCTCTCTCCCTCTCTTCTTGCATGGCTGGACTGACAGGTTGGCAGAGCTGAGAACGACAGGTTGGGTTTGTTTTTTTAGACACAACTCCTCCCCCTCTCAAAGAGAGGAAAAAAAAAAAGAAGAAGAAAAAAAAAGAAGGCAAGACTGTTTGGGAAAAGTTCACAGAAAATCCCGTCCTTTCAGCACATTCGAGCTGGTGAGAAAAATGCTACTTTGGGGAGCCCAGCAGTTTTCCAAGTGTTTTTCGAGAAAAAGGCTCAAGGTCTGCTTTGCAAGAAGTGTGAAACAACCAAAGGATTTACACCAGGAACCGACCTGACCCCAAACCTTCCCCATTTTCCTGAGAACTGATCCAGAGGTGATTGTAGCCTTGACAAGAGGGCTGTTGAACAAGTGGAAAGGGCTTTTTGAAGGCAGCACAGATATCTTTGGACCTTGGATTTTATCCTTGCATCCCAGCACCAGTCTGGGGAATAAATGTCACCCAGAGGTGTCTGAAGACCTGTTTTTTTCCACTCAGAACCCCGTGCTGCTGCTAACCTGCCCTCACTGCAGGTTATTTTAAATTCCTGCTTTACTCCGTGCTCTGAATTGGCTGCACAGAGAGCAGCTCAGCTTCTGTCCCTGTCCCCTGAGAGGTGAGAGGATCCCAGGGAGCTGGGGCAGGATTTTACCAGGTCACAGTGAGCACAGAAATGGGGTCAGCGTGGAAAGCTTCCACTTCCACAGGCCTGTCCAGGTGTTCTGGCTCAGGTGAAAAAACTCATTCCTGGGAATGCTCTACTACAATGCTTTTAGAACCAGGATGCAGACACTGATTTGACCCCAGGTTTATCAATAAATTCTTAATTAGGGCTGTGTCAAACTAATTCAGGTGCTGGTGCCTGTGCCTTCCTGGCCATGGAGCTTTGCTCCTGGCAACCCATGGCACGAGCATCTGCTAATAAATGCCAGGACAGAGCAGCCAAGGGGTTGGTGGCCGGTGGTGAAACAATTCCACCCTCCCACTCCCCTGCAAACTCCAAAAGAACTGACAGTCAGTCTTTTTCAGTCTCTAAAGCTTTTTTAAGTTGGCAGTTTGGGCACAAATCTGCAATTTCCAGGCCTGTTCTCTGCAGAGTCCTGCCTCTTCCTGACCCAGCAAGCAGAAAAACAAACAGACAGTGGACTAATGACTGTCATCTGCATAAATTTGCATCACAGACTCCTTGAATAGAGCCCCATCTCCTCCGGGTCAGATTTGCACCTGGGTTGGAACAATGAGGATTCAGAGGCTTCCTTTACCTGCCTCAGTGGTGCTGGTGTCCCAGCTCTGAAAAGCCAAAAGGGTTCCAAAACTTGGAAAAAATCCCCAGTCAGTTTAATTTAACATTATGGAGATGAAATCCCCGGGTGTCATGATGCCTTGAGAAGGCTGAGCTGGAGCAGAGGCTGGGCAGAGCTACAGAATAAAGCAGGGATTGATTCAAAGGGGCTCCTCCATGGATCCACCTGGGGCAGCACCAGAGCCCAGCCAGGGCTGCACCCAAGATGAACCCAAATGGTCCCAAAATGCACGAGCGCTGCCGGGGTCTCTCCCTGGGATCAGCTCTGCTCCATGTGCACATTGCAGTTCATTGTCCAGTTCCAGCTGCAGCCCATCCAGTCCCATCCTGCTTGTTTTTCTCTCTCCAGCCCACGGGGTTTGTGCTCTTGGGCTGAGATTTGGATCATTTGTCCTTGGTGCCCAGCTGGAGCAGGAATTGTTTTGTGTCCCTGCTCTGTGCAGAGAGCTCAGCATCCCCTGATGTGAGCCCAGACCCACACACTAAAGCAGCACAGAACCTGAAAAATGGAAAAGCTGCAGCCTGAGGCATCACTCACACGGAGTCAGTGTGACATCATATCCAAAAACATCTCCTTGCACTTCTTGCAAGCTCAGCTTTATCTCCTGCACCAGGGAGAGCCACATCCATGGACTCATTCCATCTCTTCCAGGACTGCTTTCCATCCCTCCAGCCACCTGCATTCACACCCTGCCTCTTTCATCAGGAAACTGCTCTCAGCTGTGCTCAGCTCCCCTCTTAAGATGGACACAGAGATAAGGCAGAAAGCTCAGAATTCTTTCCTGCCAGTGGAACCAGTTCCTGGAATCCAGACAGAACCGGGCAAAGTTCAGTGCTAATGGGTGGATGTCGCCACATTCTCTTCATAGAGAAAAGCAAGGTGCAATTCTTCCCAGGAATATTTCTGGGATTCACATTCTTTGAACATCAGAGAAAGAAAACACAATTCTTATCACTTGTTGTGCCTGAGTTGTGCCAAAGTAGAATGCAATGTGGGGATTGTTTACCTAAAGTGAGGGTGTTTTGTTCCCTTGGCCTGTCCTGGGCCAGGAGAGTGTGTGTGTGTTGGACTGTCACGAGACAGTCACGGGAGAATCAGAGATGAGTGCAGTTCTGTGCAGTTGTGAGCAAGGCTGAGTGCAGGGCAGATTCAGTTCAGATGCAATGTACATAGTATAGTATAATAAAGTAATTAATTAGCCTTCTGATGGTGGAGTCAGATGCATCATTCTCTCTCCCTCTCTCATGTTGGAGTCGCCCTTGTTTTCCATGGGTGGTAGCTGGAGGCACCACTGCCTGCTGAGGGAGGTGAGGAACTGCTCTTCAGGTCACACACTGCAGCTTTCTGCATTTCCAGGCTGAAATTCCAGCCTGAATTTCCAGTGCAGATGGATGGGGATAGGAATTTAGCAGCATTAAGCACACCCCAGTGTCAGCACTGCTGGATCAAAAGTAGGTTTCCCAGCAGGGATCCAACTGCAGCTCCCTTGGGCACTGATTTAGGTTTTTCTCAGTCTTCCCTCAGCATTATGAGGTTGGAGCTCCAGACTCTTCAAAAGATCTGGAGCTTGAAGGATCTTTAAGATCTTTTAGCAAAGGGGTTTATTCTCTTTGTTGATTCAGGTTACTTGCCCTGGCACCAAGAAATCACCAAAAACTGCCCAGCATGATGCTCTAGCTTTACCTCTGGCATTTTCATCCCTCATGGGACTCCTGGAGAGGGAGAGAAGCTGAGCAGCATCAGAAGGAGAGGGAAATCTCCAATCTCCAGCTGCAGCTGCCAGCCCAATCCCAGTCCAGCCCTGCAGTGTGACAGGTTTTTTTCTGCTATGGGTGAATTAAACCAAAGGCCCCCAGTTCTCAGCAAACACAGTTGCTATAAGAGCTTTAAAGCAGTCAATAAATGCACTTCAATTAAGCACTGCAGCGAGGTCGGATTTCTTGTTTTTCCTGTTTCACCAGCAAGTTTCAAGACAGCCTCATAATGAACCCTGGGAGCACAGCTCGTTACAGCATCAGAAAAGTTGCAAAATTGCACCCAACTTTGGGTTGTTATGTTCTGGTAGCTACACTCCCTAAAGGAAAAAAAATATCAAAGAGGAAGGAACATGTCTCAAAATGCAGGAACTTCATCCCAAATGCCTTGGTGCCAGTGACAGAATTCCCATGGTTTCAGAGGGCTGTGGATCGATACTAATGTGTGGAAAATGAAGTGACTCAAACTGCTGTTTGCAAATAGATGACAGTGGAAGAGTGGTGAAACAAATCCTCCTGTGTGAGGAAGACACTATGAGAGTCGAGACCTCCCTGAAGAAACAGAGATAAACAAACTATAAAAATATCCAGAGAGAAAAAAAAAAACAAAACCAAGAAAAGAAATGAAACAAACTCTCAAAAATCCCTAAAGACTAGTAAAACTAAAACCAAAACTGGTGACTACAAGTCAATCACAGAACAGAGGAGCCGAAGAAGAGAAACCAACAACAAAAATCAAATACCACTCAGAGTTAATCGAATGTAGTTATAAGAAAAGTAATATCCAGATCATGAAGAGACACCTTAGATCTCCTAGACTCAATGATCAAGGAACATCTCATGACTGTCCCAAAAGACCAACTAAAAACTCTTTTACACTAAGTACACAAATAATTTCCAAATACAGAGCCAAGGACTCTTTTTAATCCCTTTCTCTGAGACTCTGTGAATCTAAGATTATAAATATATTTATTTATTTATTTGTTTGTTTGCTTATATATTTTTATATATATATACATATAAACAATTTCCCAATACAGAACCAAGAAGTCTTTTCCCTTTCTCTGGGACTCTGTGAATCTAAGATTATAAATATATTTATTTGTTTGTTTGTTTGTTTGTTTATACATTTATATATATATACATATAAACAATTTCCCAATACAGAACCAAGAAGTCTTTTCCCTTTCTCTGGGACTCTGTGAATCTAAGATTACATAACGCTGCTACACTTAAAAACTCAACAACTACAAAACATCTTCCTACACACAGAGTAGTTGATGAAGTAATAACCAATAAATACAATGCACAAAAACATACAGAAAATATCAATGAAATAATCACTGCATTACAGAACCCACAGTCTCAACTGAGAGAATAAAAAAGTTAGCTTATGTACCAGTCTGAATTTGGAAAAGATGGGAATGGGACCTGGTTTTGTGGTTACCTGGTGGATTATGGGTTAAATGAGTTTTTTTTCCTCTTATGTGTTGTAGAAACTCTCTTTTTACCATGTGTGGTCCCTTGCTTAGTGCCACTTATTCAATATGTGATCAAGGGAATGCAGGTGGCAGCCTTGCCTGCAGATCCAGAAATGGTTACAGAAGGACAGAAAATGATGCTGCTGCAAATAATCCCAAAACCAAAAAGGACCCAGGAACAAAAAGTTAAAAAAAAGGAACAAAAAACCCAAAAAGTTCAAAGGAAAAAAAAGTGAAGTCAATGATAATGAAGGTTTGTAAAGACAATTATTGAGAAAATGAGAAGAGGAGGGGTTGAGAGGAATGAGGAGATGTCTTGACAAACAAGCTGTGATGGTAGATAAGGCCAGATACTGAGAGGTGAAAGGAGCAATGGGGAGAAAATAAATTCCATAGGAATTCCATTAATTGACACAGACTGTTACCCACTCAAGACTTTTTTCAAGAGAAAAAAAAAAACCAAACAGAGAGACAAAGAAAAAGAA